CTGTACCTGCTAGTTACACATTGTGCATGCTAGTTCTCCACTTGTTTTGATTCTGTCTAATGCATGATGCAGACTTGAGATTGACTTATGACTGTAGGAGATAATGATTTATATCCAATTCATGTTGTAGGGCATGTTTATTTGTTCTGTCAGATTTTTTGCTGAATATGTATGCCTCTCACTAGCACAAATTTATGTTTGACGCCTTTTTTATGTGCACAGGAGATGGTTTGAGAGTTTGTCTGAGCCCTTGCAACCGCGAGAGCCGGGGAAGCGGCATCAGCATGTATCTCTGGAAGGAGTTAAAAAACGCAAGGGTAACTCAAAAGCCTCTGTTTCTTTTTTATTTGAATTTTTTCATTTTCTGATACTATTTTTTAGTTTATACTCATCATCACAGACTATATTGTTGAAGGTTGACCTTTTTTTTCTCCATGAGTTTTGAAGCAGAGGGGAGCCCCTAGTTAGGTAGTTGTTTACATTGAATCATTGAATTTTTTTTATCCAGCGTGTCAAGCTATTCCTGTGTGGTTAGAGAGTAGAAAGACACTTACTGCCATAATAGGGAGTTTAAAAGTCTAAAAACTTAGGGATCATTTATTAAAGTTTGCAGCTTGGCTTTATTCTAGAAACCATGGCCATGATTTAACTAGCAACAGCAAAAAAAATTGTGATTTTATTAGTGTTTTACTTACTAACAGCAGTCTTCTCTTTGTAACTGTATGTTTTTGCACTGATATGGTTGGTTCATCTTTAAGAGTTCAGTGTATCTCTTTCTTTCTAGCCATTTTTGACCCAGGTAGAATGTAGAATGTAGAGTGTGCAGATTTAATAGAATTCACGGTTTGATGTTCATTTTCAAACCCATGCAGGTTGTTTCCTGTAGATTTTTGTTGCTTGTTCCTGTCGTTGTCATTTTTCTGATTTGTAGCTCGTTTCATGTAGACTTTTTTTATTTTTTGTTGTTTTGTTCAGTCATGCCTAGTAATATATGCTAGTTTAGACTAAATTTTAGGTTGTAGCAGCTTGACTCTCTTTTTTATATCAGTGCTCAATGCACAGGCACGTTCATGATCTTTTGATTATTGATGTACCTTTTTACAATCTTTTTTTTGTCCGGCTTGTTAAGCTCTGCATGTGTGGCTAAAGAGGAGAAACACACTTACTGTCATAATAGGGATTTTTACTTCAGTTTTTCGGCCATGATTTTTTTCATAACCATTAGGATGCTTTCTAATTTTTTACAATGATTATTTACTTCATTTTTTGGGTTTTTGCTTTTTTGTTCAACAGAACAGGTTGTGCCATGCAACGAAAGGGTTCGTTTCAACAACCTGACAGGAGATGAAAGGAGATAGGCTGAAGTTCAAGGCAAACAAACGGACGTACACTATAATCACAAGGGGCGCAGATAGAGTGCAATGTATGGGAGTGGTTGGAGGAAGTTTGTTGCAGACAACAAGTTGGAGAAGGATCAGCTGGTTTTCTTCTACTTGGACCAGCCTTCCCCAAGGGCAGTTGTTTACGTGATGGGTTCATAGGTTCACCATTTGTGCACCACCCCACGAGGACACATGTTGAATTGGGAGCATGGTATGTATCCTTTTTTTCATTTTTAACTCTTTTTTGTTCATGTGATCTTTATTTGTTCCTTTTAGATTTTTTTTGGATATGTACAAGTAAGAATCCAAGTATGTAATACGAATTTGAACTAGAAAAGGGGGTGGGGTCGGGGGGGATAAGGTGAATCTGAACTGAAATTAGATAAGTCAAACTATAATCAATTAACATTTGTTTTGTAAGTAGGCGGGAGGAAGGGGGAGGGAGTTGCATGTCCGACACTAGGGCTTGCAACTGTAAGTGTCGCCCTAGACTACAATTGCATGTCTCCCGATCGACTGCAACTGGCATTGTGTTTTTGTCAGAGAGGAGGGGGGAGCAGTTGCACGTCCGACAGTAGGCTTGCAATCGCATGTGTTGCCCTCGCCCGCAACTGCATGCCTATACACCCGACTGCAACTAGCCTTGTGTTTTTTGTCGGAGAGGGGAGGGGGGTTGTTGCATGTCCAACAGCGGCCTTGCAACTATAAGTGCCGCCCTCGACTGCAACTGCAAGTGTCGCCTTCGACTACAACTGCATGCCCACACACCCTTACTGCAACTGCATGCCCACACCTCGAATGCAACTAACATTTGTTTTGTAAGTGGACATCGGGCGAGGTGTGGGAGTTGCATGTTCGATACTAGACTTGCAACTGCAAGTGTCGCCGTCACCGTTGACTCCAAATACATGTCTGCTTCCCGGCTGCAACTGGCCTTATATTTTTGTTGAAGAGGGGGAGGGGGCAGGGAAGTTGCACGTCGGACAACAGGATTGCAACTACAAGTGTCGCCGTAGACCACGACTCCATACCTACACACCCGGCTACAATTGCATGCCCACACACCTGAATGCAACTGATATTTGTTTAGTAAGTGGGCGATGGGAGAGGGTTGGGAGTTGCATGTCCCATACAAGACTTGCAACTACAAGTGTCGTGCTCGACTCCAACAGTAAGTCTCCTTCCCGGTTGCAACTGGCCTTGTTTCTTGTCAGAGACAAGGGGGAGTTGCATGTCTGATAATAGGCTTGCAACTGCAAGTGCCGCCCTCAATCGCAACTGCATGCCTACACACCCGACTGCAACTGCATGCCCACACACCCGAATGCAAATCGCATTTGTTTTGTAAGTGGGCATCGGGAGAGGG